CTTTGAGCCACTGCACTATGTCCAATTTTCTGGTGGTTAATTGGAGATAAGTTTCACAGACTTTCCTGCCCAGGCTGGCTTTGAACTGTAATCCTCAAATCTCAGCCCCCTGAGTAGCTAGGATTACAGGCGTGAGCCAGCAGCATCCACAGTCTACTTTCTTTCCTCAGTGCCTGCAGGAGTTTCTGCAGAACCTTGAGCGTAGCCTGTGGTTGGGTGAGTCATCCCAGGCTCACTGCACAAGAGTGAACAGGCTTAGATGGGTGCTGGCTGAGTTTGAAAAACTTACTTAGGTTCATTGAGAAGCCCACAAAAAGGGATAATGAGCCAGGCACTAGTGGCTCACGCTTGTAATCCTAGCTAGGACTGAGGCTAAGATCTGAGGATTGTGGTTTTTGAAGCCAACCTGCAAAGATAAATCGGAGATTCTTATCTCCAATGAAGCAGTATCAAAGCTGGAGGTAGAGTTGTAATTCAAGTAGTACAGTATCAGCTTTGGGTGAGAAAGCTAAGGGGTAGTGCCCAAGCCCTGATTTCAAGCACAGTACTTGCATCCAATAAAAAGGGACCATGAAGCCAGGCACCTGTGGCTCATGCCTGTAATCCTAGCTACTTAGGCTGAGCTCTGAGGATCATGGTTCAAAACCAGCCCGGGCAGGAAAGTCTGTGAGACTCACTTTCCACCAGAAAGTGAGTTGTGGCTCAAGTGGTAGACCACATGCGTTGAGCTGAAGACCTCAGGGGCAGCGCCCAGGCCTAGAATTCAAGCCCTACAACCCCCCCCCCCCCAAAAAAAAGGATCATGACTCCAGCTTTGCATTTTGCTGGTCAGTTGGAGATGGGGTCCTATGGAGTTTTCTTTTTCTTTCTTTCTTTTTTTTTTTTTTTTTTTTGGGTCCAGTCATGGGGCCTGAACTCTGGGACTGGGCGCTGTCCCTCAGCTCTTCAGCTCAAGGCTAGCATTCTACCACTTGAGTCACAGCGCCATTTCTGGGTTTTTTCTTTTTGCTTATGTGGTGCTGAAGAATCGAACCCAGGGCCTCAGGCATGCAAGGCAAGCGCTCTACCACTGAGCCAACATCCCAGCCCCTGGAGTTTTCTTTTTTATTTTGCTTGTCCTGGGGCTTGAACTCAGGGCCTGGGCACTGTCCCTCAGCAGTTCAGCTCAAGGCTAGCATTCTACCACTTGAGCCACAGTGCCACTTCTGGCTTTTTCTGCTTATGTGGTGCTGAGTAATCGAACCAAGGGTCTCATGCATGCAAGGCAAGCACCCTACCACTGAGCCACCTTCCCAGCACCATGGACTTTTCTTTCTTTTCTTTTTTTTTTTTTTTTGGGTCCAGTTGTGGGGCTTGAACTCTGGGCCTGGGCGCTGTCCCTCAGCTCTTCAGTTCAAGGCTAGCACTCTATCACTTGAGCCACAGCGCCACTTCCGGCTTTTTTCTTTTTGCTTATGTGGTGCTGAGGAATCGAACTCAGGGCCTCAGGCATGCAAGGCAAGTGCTCTACCACTGAGCCACCCTCCCAGCCCATCACATGGACTATTCTTAGCTCTGCATTTTGCTGGTCAGTTGGAGATGGGGTCTTATGGACTTTCCTAGCCAGGTTGTCTTATACCACCATCCTCTTGATCACCTGAGTAGATAAAATTACATATTTGAGATGCCAGTATCAGGATGAGAAGTTATGTACAGTTTGTGAGAATATCTTCTATCACTTGGACTTGTCTCTTGCCAAGAATGAGACTGTAAATAAAATGTACTTGGTTGTTAGGAGACTGATTTCTCCTAAAAGCTTACTTTTTTCTCCTTACCAAGTTTTGCCTGCCATGGAACCATGTATCATGTCCCTGATCTCTCCCACAACCCTGGACTATAGTAGCTGTCCTATCATTAATTGGATGAATGGACTTAAAAGACTTTAGTAATGAACACTAGGTGGCTCTCATTTTCGCCAAGTCCAACTGAAGATTTTTTTTTTTTTGTCTTGTTTTCTGATCCTTTTGCCTGCATCCAAAATTCTGGAACTATATGCATGTACTCCAATGCCTGGCAGACCTGATGGATTTTTACATGTGAAAGATGATTTATCCAGACTCACACTAGTAGTTTTGGACACACACTTGGGCATACAATCTAGCTTCAACAAGGCCAAAATGAGGTATTGGCTCTAATGAAGCTCTTTGTGGACGTAGCCTGTCTGCAACTACTCAAACTTCTCATAAAGCTGAAGCCAAACAACCTACAGGTGTTCAAGGTGAACCAGACCACGTCTTTCTGAAGCAATCACAAAACAAATTCATGACAACTGAGTAATGACTGCCCTGCCCCACCCAAATTTTATCAATTGAGGTGGCAGTTCTTTTTTTTTTTTCTCTTGTCAGTTGTAAGACTTGAACTCTGGGCCTGAGCACTGTCCCTGAGTCTCTTTGTGCTCAAGGCTAATGCTCTACCACTTGAGCCACAGCCCTACTTCCAGGTTTTTTTGAATAGTTTATTGGAGATGAGTTGGTTCAAGAACTAGGAGCAGCCCCAACTGGCCCTTAGGCCGTACTATATAGATTGTATATAGATTCTTCTATTTCAGTTGAATTTTAATTTCTAGTGTCTGAGAGGTAGATTAATAAAGTATATTCCTTGAGAAAAAAAAAAAAGTCTCATGAGGACTTTACTGCCCAAGCAGGCTTCAAACTGCGATCCTCAGATCTCAGCCTCCTGAGTAGCTAGGATTACAGGCGTGATCCATCAGTGCCAAGTGAGGAGGCAAGTCTTTACATATAGTCCATAAACCAAGGCAGCTTCAGCATTACCAGGGGACTTGTTAGAAAAGCAAATTCTCTGGCTGAGGCCTATTCATCCTATTCACTCAGAAATCTGTTTTGGGCTCTGAGTGACTGGATCATGTTAAGGGGTTCTCTATGGAGAACCCCTCAGAGCTTTCTCAGTGCTCCAATAATCCATTTGCAAGCTTTTCTTTTGTGTCAGTCCTGGGTCTTAAACTGAGGGCCTGGACGTTGTCCCTGAGCTTTTTTTGCTCAAGGCTAATGCTCAACCCCTTGAGCCACAGCTCCACTTGTGGCTTTTGGGTGGTTAATTGGAGTCAAGATTGGAGGGGAGGGGGGAGGATGGGGGGGGGGGGAGGATGGGAAGGAATGGGAAGGGGAAACAAGGGAGGAGGCTACAATGCTTGATAAGAAATGTACTCATTATCTTGCCCATGTAATTGTAACCCCTCTGTACAGTATTTTCACAATAATACAAAAAATTTAAAAAGACTCTCACAGATTTTTCCTGCCCAGGCTTGCTTTGAACTTCAGATCTCAGCATCCTGAGTAGCTAGGACTATAGGGGTGAGCCACCGGCACCCGGCTCCCTTTCCTTATACTTTGTGTGTTCCAGCCCTGGGGCTTAGGTGCTGTTCCAGAGATTTTTATTTTTTTATCAGTCGTGGTGCCTGAACTCTGGGCCTGCGTGCTTTCCCTGAGCTCTTCAGCTCAAGGCTAGCGCTCTACCACTTGAGCAACAGGGTCACTTCTGGTTTTTTATGTGGTGCTGAGGAATTGAACCCAGAGCCTCATGCTATGTGAGGCAAGCACTCTACCTCTGAGCCACCTTCCCAGCCCCTCCTGAAGCTTTATTAGGGAGTGCTTTTCTTTTTTGCCATTATGGGGTTTGAACTCAGGACCTCAAACTTAACCTGCCTTCCTTGCTTGCTTGTTTGGTGCTCTATCACTTGAGTCAGTGTGTAGCCTGAATCTTTGCTGGTTAGTTTGGCATGAGCCACAAATACCCGGGTTTCAGGGAATTTGAGAAGTCAAAATTTTGTTCATGACAGAATTCTTTTTCATATTAATTTTCTCAAGTCCATAGTGTTTTCCAGAATGAAAATTTCATTGTGCTTACTTTGGTAGTGAGGTTTCCCCTGCCTTCACACTACCATCTGTATGTAGCGTTTGAACTCAAGGCCTCATAGTTCCTAGGTAAGCAATCTACCACTTAAGCCATGCCCCAACTCTTTTGGCTTTAATTTTTAGATAAGTCTTACATTTTGGGGCTGGGAAGGTGGCTCAGTGGGAGAGTGCTTGCCTTGCATGCATGAGGCCCTGGGTTTGATTCCTCAGCACCACATAAGCAGAAAAAGCCAGAAGTGGCGCTATGGCTCAAGTGGCAGAGGTCTTGCTTTGAGCTGAGTGCAAAATTTTTTGCCTGGGGCAAAAATTGGACTGCAATTTTCCTATGTATCTAGGGTTACAGATACAGTATAACTTGTTGTCAAGGATGGCCTAAAACCATGGGCCTCTCAAGCATCTGGGATTACAGGCTTAAAATAATGGTGTTCAGCCTCTCCTTGAGTTATTAAGTATAAAGGAGATACTGAGACTACAGGCCAGGATATATAGATGCATAAATTATATTTTCCTGATTTAACATTAGGACAAAAGGAGACTAGTCTAATTTGCCTAAACAGTTGTGTTGATAAACAATGAAAGCTTGAACAGCAGTTTTTGAGCTGTGAGAAAAAAAAATAGAAGTGATTGGTCTGGATTATAGACCAAAGTATAAAGCTATTTAGGATTTGAATTTATTCTGTACATTGTTTTTTTTGTCAGTCATGGGGCTTCAACTCTGGGCCTGGACAGTCCTTCAGCGGTTCAGCTCAAAGCTAGCGCTATACCACTTCAGTCATAGTGCCACTTCTAGTTTTCTGGTAGTTTATTGGAGATTAGTCTCCAATAAATTACTTTCCTGATCAGGCTGGCTTTGAGCCACAATCCTCAGATCTCAGCCTCCTGAGTAGCTAGGATTACAGGCTTGAGCACCCAGCACCCCACTATTAAAAGATTATAAAAGCCCAAAAGACTGGCTATATAGTTTAATGAAATGTTCAGTGATTTGAAATTTCTCAAACCCATATGCATTTGTGACCCCCACAGATCATACTTCCCCTCCCCCCAGTAATGGCTACACAAACTCTTAAAAAAAGAGACAATGGCACAAGATTGTCATTCACTTTTCCGCATACTTTATTTGTTACAAACATACAATTCTTTAAATATAGACTGTAAAACTCCATTTGCAAAAGTCTGCTATTGTAAGGAGTGCACACCAGCAGGAAGGATTCTTAACTTTTTCTATGAGTTTTCTGTCAGTTTTGCTAGTTAGTGGTAAATACGGGACCCGCTATTTTACAGACCTGTCCGAAGCTTCTGGCTGTATTCACATTGCTCTTTTGAAGCAGCCCTGCATGTATCAAAATTGTTCAGAATCTGAGCTTCAACCTACAGGCAGTGAGATCAACAGCCCGTCTGGACTCTGCTTTTTGAACGGTTTTCAGGAAGTGTGATTTCTGGATGGGTACTGCACTTCACGGATTTGTTTGAATTGCCCATGCAGCTCTATGTTAAAGTGCATTCTTCTTTTCAAAAATAAGCAAGAGAAATAATCTTTTTACTTTTTAATTAACCAAGGTACTTAAAAAAATGAACTTTTTGGTCTCTCAGCAGATATTCTCAAATTGATCCTACTACTACAATTTCCATGTTCTATTTACAACATTTATAGGATTCTGGGTGGAGGGAACTTTATAAAATGAAAGGTGCAGCTTCACTTGAAGCAGAAATCAGCTCTACAAATTCATACATAGGCATACGCACTTGGCTTACAATGTATAAGCTTGTTGGTATTTACAGAGATCAAAGACAACCCTCTCCAAAAAAAAAAAAAAAAGAACAAAAAACAACCTTTTAAAGTAATTGCCAACCTAAACTCTAATTGTACATTTAGATCAGGAAGCTGTCTCCTGCTATCAAGATTTGGTTTTAATTGAAATAACTTTGTAGATTCTCTACTGGAAGGACATGAGTCCCCCGCTTTGGAGTGAAGAGCCAAGTCTAACAAAGCTACCAATAGATGGAACTGTCTCTGAAGATTCCCACAGAACAAAAACATGCTATATAGCACTGTATCAGAACAGGTGATCTTAACAAATGATTTTAGAAAGACATCTGTATGAAAGTCCAAAAGGAAAACAAAATGCTTAATAATATAGATGTTCTAGGACTTCAGAAAAAAGTTCAGATACACTGATACAGTCTTGATACTGATGCCACTGAAAAATAACTCAAATACTACTTGCCTCCTATTGGAATGTGCAAAACCATAGACTGTAAAAAATGTGTCTACACTAACTGAAAGTCAGTTTCTAGACTTTTTGTCCAATCTATAGGGTTTTAAGAATCCAAGTTTTTTTTTCCCCTAGGTAGAACTTTGGGTTTTGAACTCAGGGCCTTGTGTTTGCTTGGCAAATGCTCTACCACTTAAGCCACACGCCCAGTCCTATTATTGGTATTATTTTTTGCTTTTTTTTTCAGATAGGGTCTTTTGTTTATTGCCCAGGGCCGGCCTTGGGCCACGATCTCCTATCTCTGTCTCCCAAATACCTGGGATTACAGGCATGTTCCACCATGCCCAGCTCCAGAGAGCTTTTTTACACAGAAGAGTGACATGGTAGAAGAAAAGGATTTATGCTTATTATCAATTTAAAACAAAACCTCCAAATGTGTTTAGTGATAAAATCCTGTTCTTTCATTTTCTTTGAGTCTCTTGTACTTTTTTCTCCCAAGAAGAAATGTTAAAAGGGAAGAAACAATCCACTTGCCCTTCTATTTCCAAGCACAGATTTTTCTGACCAGCCTGATCCTGCAACACAGGACAAAACATTTTGCCTTTAAGAGATGGTCTCAGTGAGTCTTGAAAAAGTTAGCCATTGAAGAGATGCTGAAGGTAGGAAAAAAGAACAAACTCATGCCTTCTGCAAAATGCTAGTGGCCACTTAATGTATCTATCGCTTTCTCTTCACAACTCTGGACCTTCATTTCACTGTGTGCCCTCTCTTATCTGTCAGTGGATAGCAGATATAGCATGGGGAAAATAAAAATTGCTCCCAGATTCAAAAATCTATTAGAAAAGTTGAGTTAAAAACTTTCACTATCATGCTAGCTTAGCTTCTAATAAAGTTGTGCTCTCCCTTTTACTAGTTTACTGTGGTAAAGCTAACAATATGGCATCTGCTCGTTTTAACATGGTTCTATCTGTCCCAATTGGAATGTCTAATTCCAAGAAGGCATGAGTTAGATTCTCAACAGAGAGTAAGACTGTGAACAGAAGTGGACAGCATATTCCATACTGCATTAGGAAATACAAAAGGCATTCACAAAGGCCTTGCTTGATTCAGGGGGACACACTGCAATTGGGAATCCCCAGGACAAGAAATCTTTACAATGCTGATGCAATTTTATTTTTCCATTTTCTGAATTTAACTTTCAGTACTGAAAAGTGGATTGCACATGTTCCAGTAATGAAACTAGGTTTTAAGAATAAGGTCTGAGGATGACTTACACAGTCAAGTCAGATATGGCAATGGAAATTGCTCCTCAAGAGTCCAGTTATCTCAAGAAACTTCTGAAGCTAATATTAAAAATGAATACTTTTTTTTCTAAATTAAAAGCAGAGGAAATGAGGCTGTAATTTGTCATTTCCACCTTGCGTATGGAATTTCAAATGGGACATATGGACTTTTTTCTTGTCTGTATTTTAAGGTAAACATGGTTCTTTTTTTCTTTTTTCTTTTCTACAAACTATCTCCCCCCCACCCTACCCTACCCCCACCCTTACACCCATTATCTAGTATACTGAATGGGAATTGTAACTCTTTCGGAAGACAGCTAATTGATTTACAGTACTCTAAAAACAACCCTGAAAACTGATAATCTCATTCATTTACTGTAACTTCAGTGCTGTTGTTGACAGAAAAGAAAAAGTTACCTTAAGGCTTAAGGGAAAGTAACTTATTAAATTGTGAATGCAGCATTTTTTACTCTCCCATCCATTGGAAACTAGCAAAATGTATTCTGAATCAACAATACAAACTTTCTAACGTTAGCAAAGATTTCTACTCTCCTGACATAAAGTTAGAATAATATTCATAAACAGAATATCTAGGGGAGCCTGAGAAACCATGATCCACATCACACAAAGATCCTATGCATTTCATGATCAAAAAGTGCTTTATCTTTGAGAAATATGTCAGGAATAAAATGGAAATATACAATGCAAAAATCACTTGACACTTTTTCAAGTGACGTACAATTGTGGAAAAGGAGCAAAAAGGTCTGCTCTCTGAACAGGCCTTACTTATGCACAAGACTTTTAAGGTCTCCTAAATTAATATTGATTTAAAGAATTCATAATAGTGGGGATTTCACTCCACTATATTTTAAAAAACCTGAGATTGGACATCAAAGCTGTCAACTTTGTTATTCATCAGAGCAATTCTGATACTTAGAAAACTCAATTGAATTAGCTCCAGGATCAAAACATTAACTTTCCCCAATCAAAAAGGATACAATCAAAAACATACCTAGAGTGTTATAGAACAACTCTCAGCAAACAAGTCATTTTCATATAAGCAAAAAGTCACTTCTTTCCTCTCCCTTCTCACTGATCAAGGCCACACAATTTTCAAATGAATATCTACTGAGAGATCAGTTGTGCATTGGACAAAGTACCATAATTGGGTTAAAAATGAAAACAAAATTTACAGTGAAGAATACTTATGTGCATGGCTTACACACTCCAGCTTCTTAATTTTATCCACCTCAAGAGCAAGGTAGATGCACAGTCACCTTGTGTAGATTACATTCTACACCCCTGTAAAGCCAGTCAAGGTCATATTTAAGCATCTTCAGCAACTACAGTGCCTGAAGTGTGCAGCCATTTACAGACCACTCAATATGAGGGCATTATTATAACCAGCCTCTTTTGCCCACAACCCTGCATTTTCAGATAAGACAAGATAATTGTTTTGTTTTGAGAAAACCGAAGCTTGAATCTCTTAAAAGACCTGCAATTTACTGCAAAGTGACCCAGAGGTAACAAAGGAAGCAGGAGGTTAATGGCTGCCTGCACCAAAAGCCTCTCAATCATTCTGCAGTAAATAATTATGGAAAGTGACATGACAAGTAGCCATGTGTGTACCACAGCTACAGCCAGTTGTACCACCTATATGCCTCCAACAGTTCCATAGGGTATTTGGGTTTTTGGTTTACTTTTCAGTTTGATTTTTGGTGCTATACAGACTGACATTTTGTTTGGTGCAGCATATGCACTGAAAGATCTGCTCACCAGAATTGCCATTTCACTTGCTGAAATGATGAGAAGGGACAATAGAAACCTAAAGAGTTACATCTCTTCACAGAGACTGACTCTTTTGACTGTTTGAAAAAAAAAAAAAAAAAAAAGGCTTATCTCTGTAGCTAGTTTGAAATAAAACTCAATTTTTTGAAAAGGAGTTTTAGTTCCCTATTTCTAAGGAATGTAACTATTTTCATTAGCTGGGATGTTTGCCAAATTTTAAAAACAACTTCTAAAGCGTTTGTAGTAAGCAGCTAAAAACAAAACAAAAAAGTTAGTTGCTTCCCAGAGTTTGTATAATGCCATTATCTAACTGGAACAAAGACTATTTCCTTTAATAAGCTAGTATTAATGAATGAATCTCCATGCTCTGCAGATTTCTATTGTCCCTAGTCACTGGAATGAGGATCAGTGAAATGCTACAATTAATCCACATCCTTCTGCAATCTTCCTACAGTGGAAGAGAGGCCATGAAACACCCCTGCAGGAAAAATAAACCTCAGAGATTGGTTTAAGACTTAAAAACCCACCACTAGGACATTCACCACTTAATCTTACACAGGCAGGTCAAAATTTTAATATAAATTACTTTTGCCAACACATAGCTTACGCATTCTTTGCTCCTTTTTTTGGAGGATTCTCAAATTGATATCTAAAGACTTACATATGATATATAACTGTTATATGGTCTAATGACTAAGAAAATTTCTCTGGTAACCAAAGCTGATGCCATATATGGTAGTGTTCTTGGCATATACTCTATATGCCTCAGACCACTTCCACATTCTTTCTATTCAGCTAATTATAGCTTAGTAGCCACTGGTAAAGGATTGTGAAGACCCTGTCATTTCTACAGAATAGAAAGGCAAGGCTAGTTACTGCAATTCAGCCAAATAAAAAGAAAAGAAAAAAGATTAATAAACCACTCCCTTGAAAAGGAGAGGTACTGCACCTTTGCAAAATTGAACTGGCTCACTGCAGCTGAGCAACAGAATCACCACTGAAGCAAGAAAACAAGTTGGTCTATACAGGAATTGTACATGATTTGAAAATGAAAAAGTTACAGCGATCAACTAATAGCTGCAACCTTAATTTTCATTGCTGCCTCAGAGTTGAAACTTAAACAGTTTCTGCAAGCCTAATGCTAGCTTCTCATCTCCTTTACTAAAACTAGGAATTTGTTCTCCGCAGCAAAGAAACAAAACACTCAAAACACATAGGTAAATACAGCAGGACATTATTGAAAACAGCTGCCTTGTGGTACAAAATACAGTACAAGTATACGGATGTCATTAAAACATCAAAAATACTATTGCTCCCATACAATTTAGGAAACATTCTTTGCAACGGAGAAAAATTGAAAAGAAAAGCTTTAAAAAATGTTTAAAAATTCTACTATGAATGATGTGAGTAGAGAAATAGTCTGAAAAGGGCACCAATGTTTGTGGCTCTTCTATTTCTTTGAACCTAAGATCAACATTATTCTGAATCATAGTCTAGTTTAAAAAAAGAGCCTAATTTTATATACACAAGTATCTCCCTCCCTCTCAGCCACAAATACATGAAAATGACCTTTTTGTATATTACTTATTTCCCAATAAATACAAAAAGATTGTAAAGATTGAATACCAAAATAAGATAATAAAAAGGATATGCAATAAATTAAAAAGGCAGCTCAAATAAAGGGCAGGCATGCAGTTAAAAAAAAATACTAAGATTGTGGAGGTGGGGTTACTTGCCTCCTGGTTGAGGTGTCACACAAAGAATACCTGAAAACTTTGGAAAGAACATTCAATTCAAAGTTTCCTAGGCTGTGACATTTCTAGAAATACCTTTTGATGGGGTGGGATTAACTTGATTAATAAAAATCATTTCTACTGAAAATCCATTTAAAATATAGAAGAGGCGATCCATGAAAACCCCAACTTTTATTCTTGAAAGACAGCTGGATAAACTGGCCAATGCCAGTATGTTGCAATTTCAAGATGGTATAAAAATGCTTCCAGGATATAGTCAGCATATTCACGTTCACATCAGTTCCATTCACAGATGGATTTCAGCTTCCACCGGGTGCACTGCTTGAATCATTCATCCATCATTTGCCAACTTTGATTGTGAGGTACTAATAAGATGGATCAAGTTCTTAAAAATTTGTTTTAAAGAATAAATGATGCTGGAATTCTGAACCTGAGGATCTTTAGTATTTGAACAAATCCACAGATTAAACTGAAGGTGAATTAAGACTTCAGTTTTAGTTATTTCCAACTTCTCTGTGAGGATGCATATTCCATTAAAGCTCAGGCTTGTAGCCACACTGTTCCTTTTGCAGAAAATCATCAAGTTTTACAGTTTAAAATGCAGCCAACCAGTGGCTGTAACAGCCAAATTAGCCATAATTCACTGGCTCATATGGTAGAGCCATGGGATCTGGCTCTCATTCACACCAATGCCACTTCTTGGTAATGACCTCCACCTTTAGAGATCAAGGGAAGAACTTTAGTGAGCAGCAACCCATCCACTCAACGAGTTTGCCTTGTGCTTTATGCCTGACTTATTGTGCCTACCTCAGCAACCCCCAATGTAAAACTGCTTTTATTTTTTGAAAAAAAAAATTCCTTTTGCCCAACTTTTAAACCATTTTAGTAATGAATTCTCTAGTTCAAGCATTGGCTTTTGAATTTTCACATCCCGGAAAACAATTCTGCAAAGAAAAGACATGGGGCCAGGTTCCATGCAAAACCATTAAAAAAAAATCCAATTTGTTTTGATTCGCTGATGGCTTTTTGAATTCTTTTTTGCCTTGTCCATGATTGTGTAAAGTTGCATTCCTTTTCATAAACCTGGACTCTCAGGACTGGGTAACTGCAAAGGTCTCTCTGTCTCAAGAATTTCCGTGAAGATCTCGATCCAAAAGGCTGATTACAATGAAGGTGAAGGATAGACACTGCAACGGCGGCTAGGCCTGGAGAGATACTTTAGATTTACCCAGGTACAACACAAATTCAACTGTTATACACAGATGGATCTGGGTAAGTCAGATGTGTTTAGGGGCCCAGACTCGAAATCTATCCCCTTCAGGATTATCTAGATGAGCTTAGGAACCTCGGGTGGGAAATAGAAGCTGAGACTCTTGCAGGTGAGGAGATGCTGTTGTCCTCTCTTTGCAGGTTGCTGTCAATTTCTGGAACTTTACTGCTTTACTCACTGTTCAAGACTGTTGTCTTATGGTTATTTCTCTTAACTATATTATTTTTTTTTAATTTTGTTGGTTTTTTTTTTTCTCCCTTGGTGGCCTCCCGGGCTCCCTCTCCACTAGCTCACAGGGGAATGAGCAAGAATGGGAACTAGCCAGGGGGATGCGGGGTGGGGGGCGCGGGTAACAGGGTGGGGGAGGCCAGTGGGGAAAGCTGCCCTTTCAATCCTCATCCACCTCTTCGCCTTCGGACTCCTCACCGCCGCCACTGCCCCCAGCACGACGCTCGTAAAGCTTATCCCTCTGCCGCTCCTGGATTTCTTTCATCTCATCCGCATACCGGCAGAAGGCGCCACCAAACTTGCCCCAGGCCTTGAAGGGCACGGTGATGGCATTGCGGTAGGACGGCTTCACCTCGCTCACGCGCAGAAACACTCCGTACTTGTTGCAGCCCACATCGAAGAAGAAACGTTTGGAGTCCACCGTAATAGAGGTGCCCTCCGGGAGTTCCCCGTACAGACCGCCCCCGGGGCCGCCGGCACCGCCTCCTGGGCCTCCGGCCAGCTCGTCGTCCTCGCCTCCGTAGTCGTCGATGAGCTTGGCGAGCGCGTCGCGGAATTCGATGAGACCTTGCGCGGGCAGCGCGATGGTCTGGCCGCTCTGGAGGCCGCCGGGCCCGGGGCCTGCGCCGAAGCCGCCGCCGCCGCGGTTGACGGTCTGGCGGATGCGCAGGAAGCGGCCGCGCTGGTTCTCCTTGAGATCCAGGTAGTACTTGCGGTTCTCGCGCACCAGGAACTCGCTCTTGAGCGCGCGCCGCGGCCCGCCGCCCTCCTCGGCGCCCGCCGCCAGCTGCTCGGGGCTGCTGGGGCCCAGCTGCGCGTAGTGCTCGATGAAGTCGCCCAGCGAGTCGCGGAACTCGGCCGCCACCGCCATGGACAGCGTGAGGCGGCTCTTGGAGCCGCCCGCGCCCACCTCGGCGATCTTCAGGAAGCGGCCCTTGGCGTTCTGCTTCACGTCCAGGTAGAAGCGCTTGTTCTGGATGTCCAGCCGCTTCGAGGCCAGCTCCTGCGTCTCCTGCTCGCCGCCACCGCGGGGTGCGGGCTGGAAGCCTCCCTGCCCGCCGCCGCCGCCGCCACCGCCGCCGCCGCCACCGCCGCCGCCGCCGCCGCCACCGCCGCCGCCGCCGCGCTCGCTGCCGCTGTCGCCGTCCGCCATCTTCTCGGCTGCCGCCTCGCCGCCGCCCGCTGTGCTCGCGCCCCCGCCCTCCGCCCTGCGGCTCGCGCTCCGGGGCCCCCCAGCCTCGCCCGCCGGCTCCTCACGCGCTCCCGCCGCTCATCGCCGGCCGCCGCCGCCGTCCCCCATCGCCTCCGGGCCCCGCCCCCGCGGCTTCCGCGCAGTCCGGCTCGCTTCCGGCGCGCGGCTTCCCATGACGTCGCCCCGCCCCACCCGCCGCGACCTCGCGGCCGGAAGACCCGCTCGCCACGGCGGCTGGCGCGGAGGTGACGTCATTTCTGCGCCCTCTGGGGCGGCGTGGTGCGAGCGGCGTCTAGCTGTCCGCAGCGGGTCGCTCTTCTCGTTCTCTGCAGAATCCGTATCTTTCCTTTCTACTGAAACCTTGGGGCTCCTGGCCGTCCTCCTGGGGCGGGGGCTGGGACAGCCCCAGGCTGTGTCTCCGGCGACCGGGGTGAAGTAGCTAGGAGTACCCGGAAGTGGGGAAGAGTGGCACCTAGCGTGTGGCTCACGGGAGACGGTGGGGCCCGGCATTTGGCCGAACGCTTCCGGCCGGCGACGGGGAGCGGGGAGACCCGAGACCTGCTGCGTTGTGCGTGTATCTGAGGAGTAGCCAGATACCACTGGGCAGGGTGGGTGGAACGAGGAAGTCCGTCTGCAGTCGGACTCATCACTCCTGACCCGGATCACTTTTTTTTCGGTCCTGGGGCTTGAACTGAGGGTCTGGGCGCTGTCCCTCAGCCCTCTGCTCAAGGCTAGCGCTATCACTTGAGCCGCTGCGCCACTTCCGGTCTTTTCTGAGTAGTTTATGGGAGATAAGACCTCTGGGCCTGCGCACTGTCCTTCAGCTCAAGGCAAGTTCTCTACCATGTGAGCCACAACGCCACTTCCGGATTTTTTTGGGTAGTTTATTGGACATAGGAGTCTCACACACTTTCCTGCCACAGCTGGTTTCAAACCACGATACCCAGATCTCAGCCTCCTGAGTAGCTAGGATTACAGGTATGAGCCACTGGGCGTCCAGCCGGATTCACATTTTGCAAAAACCGTTGAGAGGAAAACATATTAAGTGAAGTAAGCCAGGCCCAAAGAAACATAGGTCCCATGGTTTCCCTTATTTGCAATAGCTAGTATATGTCTGAGACAAGCAGAGACAGTCAGATAAGTTGTTAGGGGAATGAACCCCAAGATAAGTTTTCAAATTTTTTTTTATTTCTTGCAATTGTTTCTAACATATTTATAAGATGATTTCCTTGTTGCTTTGTATGTCCCTCCCCCACAGTACAACCCGTTTTCACTGTATTTGATGTTGGTATAATTTGTGGAGGGGAAGGGAAAAAACATTGTTTAAATGGGGATACAGGTGGACCCATTGCAACAATGAGATATGTCGAAAAACGAACTTTACAACTTTGCGGGGGGGGGGGGGGGGAAGCAGGGGGGCGATAGGAAGGGATGGGAAGGGAAAACAAAGGAGGAGGCAACAATGGCTTGATAATAAATGTACATTACCTTGTCCATGTAATTGTAACCCTCTGTACGGTATTTTCACACACACAAACCATTGAGAGTACTTAAGAGAAGCTGGCTTGCAATGGGGTTTGATTCCAGATCCATAACTCAGTAAATAGCTGCTGTGGTCTTCCTACCTACTGAACAGATTAAAAGTTTAAGTAAATCGACCCTGCCCACCTTTCAAGTTTATCTATTAATAACATGAGAATAGTTTCCTTGTGACCTTTTGTGCATTGAGGTGCAATGAAAGTGTTGGAATAGCATTAAAACCGTAGGCACTCTCATGCTGGGCCAGGTGCCCCGTGGGTTTGGGGGTTCTGGTTTTTACTTTTTTTTTTTTTTTTTTTTCAGTTTAATTTTATTTTATTTGTGAACATACTGTACAGAGGGGTTACAATTACATGGGCAGGATAATGCGTACATTTCTTACCAAGCATTGCAGCCTCCTCCTTTGTTTACCCTTCACATCCCTTCCCAGCCTCTCCCCTCCCCCCCAATCCCAATCCTTCTCCTTCCCCCCCTCCCCCCCCCCTTTTTACTTTTTTAATGTCAGTCTGAGTCTTTGTAATTATTGAATTGTGAGAACATTTTTGAGCAATTCACCTGTCAATAAAGCAGATGGCAGTTTAAAAAAAAAACTGTAGGCACTGAAGTTTCTCTGTCTGGATTTGAATCTATGTCATATTGATTTTCTCCAGACAAAAGTTTCTTCATGGGCTGGGAAAGTGGCTCAGTGGTAGAGTGCTTGCCTTGCATACATAAGGCCCTGGGTTCGATTCCTCAGCACCACATAAGCAAAAAGGAAAAAAAAAAGCTGAAGTGGCACTGTGGCTCAAGTGGTAGAGTGCTAGCCTTGAGCTGAAGAGCTGAGACCCAGAGTTCAGGCCCCACAACCGGACCCCCTCAAAAAAAAAAAGTTTCTTCATCCTGAATCTAAGTTATAGATTTAACAAAGGGCTGTCAGTGTTCACAACATACAAAGAATACTTCAAGCTCAATAACAACAAATATTTTTTTTTTAAAGTGGCACTGTGGCTTAAGTGGTAGAACCCTAGCTTTGAGCAAAAAGAAACTCAACCCTGAGTTCAAGCCCCGGGACTGGTTAAAAAAAAAAAAGACAGCAAGGAGGCCACTGAGGCTGAAATCAGAGTTTTGCCAGGCGCTGGTGGCTCACACCTGTAATCCTAGCTATTCAGGAGGCTGAGATCTAAGGATTGCAGTTCAAAGCCAGCCCAGACAGAAAAGTCTTTGAGACTCTTCTGTCCAATAAACTACCAAAAAAAAAAAAATCCAGAAGTGGCAATGTGGCTCATGTGGTAGAGCACTTGCCTTGAGCTTGTGTGCAGGCCCAGAGGTCAAGCCCCACAACAGACAAAAACAAAACAAAAACATGTAAGCAGGGCGATGGTGGCTCTCACCTGTGATCCTAGCTTTTTAGGAGGATGAGATCTGAGGATCACAGTTCTAAGCCAGCCTGGGAAAGCAAAGTCTGTAAGACTCTTACCTCCAATAGCTACCAAAAAAAGCTGTAAGTGGAACTGTGGCTCAACTGATAGAGTGCTAGCCTTGAGCAAACAGCTCAGGGACAGCATTCAGGCCCTGAGTCCAGGCCCCACAACCAACTAAAAAACAGGTTCTGCCCCCTGCCACTTCTGGCCTCCCCACTTTCCTGCTTGGTCTAGTTTTGAATTACAATCCTCAAATCTCAGCCTCCTGAGTAGCTAGATTATAGGCATGAGCCACCAGTGTCCAGCAGGTAAAGCTTGTTTTTGCCAGTTCTGGGGCTTGAACTGGGTGCCTGCGCTCTGTCCCTGAGCTGCTTTTGCTCAAGGCTAGTGCTTTACAACCTGAACCACAACTCCACTTCCAGCTTTTTCTGCTTATGTGGTACTGAGGAATCAAGAGTTTCATACATGCTGGGCAAGCACTCTACCACTAAACCACATTCCCAGCCCCATGTAAATGTTTTTAACAGACACTCCAACCCCAGAAGATTAACACATAAGAACATGAAATGGCTAGCTATGTGGTTCAATTGGTATAGTCCTTGCTTAACAAGCTCAAGGCCCCAAATTCATACCATTGGAAAAAAAAAAAAGACAACTTCCAATATATACCCCATATTTTTTAAAAGAATGTAAAATAATGCTCAACATCATTTGTCATCTGTGAATCAAGAAATCACAAGAGGGCTGAGAAGGTGGCTCAGTGGTAGAGTGCTTGCCTTACATGCATGAGGCCCTGGGTTCGATTCCTCAGCACCACATAAGCAAAAAGAAAAAAGCCGGAAGTGGCACTGTGGCTCAAGTGGTAGAGCGCTAGCCTTGAGCTGAAGAGCTGAGGGACAGCGCCCAGGCTCAGAGTTCAGGCCCATGACCGGACCCCCAAAAAAAAAAAAGAAATCACAAGAAAATATCAATAAACACTATAATGGCTAAAATGAAAAAGACTGACATCAAGTGTTGGCAAAGTTATGGAGAAATTGGAACATTTACTGCTAATAGGTTTTAAAAAATGTAAACACTTTGGAAAACAGCTTAGATGTTTCCATTTCTTGACACAGTAATTTTATGCATTGTATATGTAAAAATAATTTTACCCTTTTTTTTGCATGTATGTGCCAATACTGAGACTTGAACTCAGGGCCTCATGCTTTCCCTTTAGCTTTTTCACTCAAGGTTGGCACTACCACTTGACCCACAGCTCCACTTATGGTGTTTCACTAGTTAATTGAAATTAAGAGTCTCTTGAATTTATCTGTCTGGGCTGGCTTCCAAACCATGATTTCATAGCTCAACCTCCTGAGTAGCTAGGATTACAGATGTAAGTCACCAGCACTCAGTGATTTGTAGGCAATTTCTTTTCTTTTTTCTTTTTTTTGGTCTGTCATGGGGCTTGAACTCTGGGCTTGGGCGCTATCCCTGCGCTGTTCAACTCAAGGCAAGTGCTCTACCACTTGAGCCACAGTGCCACTTCCGGTTTTCTAGTGGTTTATTGGAGATAAGAGTCTCACAGCCTTTCCTACCCTGTGGGCTAGCTTTGAACCGCGGTCCTCAGATCTCAGCCTCCTGAGTAGCTAGGATTATAGACGTGAGCCACCAGCGACTGGCTTGTAGAAATTTCTTTCTTTTCTTTCTTTTTTTTTTTTTTTTGTCAGTCGTGGGGCTTGAACTCTGGGCCTGAGCGCTGTCCCTCAGCTCTTCAGCTCAAGGCTAGCACTCTACCACTTGAGCTACAGCGCCACTTCTGGTTTTCTGGTGGTTTATTGGAGATAAGAATTTCACAGACTGGGCTGGGGAGGTGGCTCAGTGGTAGAGCACTTGCCTTGCATGACTGAGGCTCTGGGTTCCATTTCTCAGCACCACATAAGCAAAAAGGAAAAAAAAAGCCGGAAGTGGCACTGCGGCTCAAGTGGTAGAACGCTAGCCTTGAGCTGAAGAGCTGAGGGACAGCGCTCAGGCCCAGAGTTC